TCCCAATGGAAACGCGCAACAAAACGGCCATATACGGTACCTGTACCTTTTCAGGCGTGGGCCGTTTTGTAGCGCGTTAGGGACGGGCGGAAATACGCCAAGGTGGGAACGAGACCATTGAACACAATGGGATTTATATTTTTGAGCGTTTTGTAGAGCGTTCGTCGAGCGTAGAACGCGCTACAAAACGTTCAGGTGTGAACGAGGGCTAAGGGCCTATTTATAACACATCCAGATCACCTCCAGACCAGACCAGATTGTTTCTGGACCTAAAATGCATCCCAATGTTTCCCTATGCAGACCTGCATCTTGGCCACATTTCACGCCATTGCAGTCAGTTCCAGACCAGAAAAATACTGCGTGTCACATTTTGTCTGGTCTGGAATACGCACAAACGTATCAAAAACGCACCGGAATGCACCGCAAATTAATGGGGAAAAAAATGTTTTTGGGGGGAGGGGGCTGGTTTGGATGATTTTATCCCCCCTGGACTTCCTGCTTCTGTGGAGAGAGAGATTTGTGAAGATAGGAACCAGGAACCATGATGGCTGAAGAGGACAACAAATTATTTGTAGAACTTGTGGAAGCCTGCCCAGAGCTGTACAGTATGATCCAAGGCATGGGCAATATAAGAACAATAATAGGTAGATGGACAAGTGGAGAGGCATTGCTGCCCAGGTTGTCCCTGGCTATGATCTTTTGAGCAGCTCTGAAAAGAACAACTGTGGTAAGTTCATGTCTCTTATGTGCAAGCATTGTGCTGCTCTTTTCCTGGCTATCTGTAGGTCTTGCAGAGGTCCCCCAGCAAGACCTAAAATTGAACGCGTCAAACACGCAGCAAAGATGCAACGCAGTTGTTGTGGAAAATTTTCTTGGGCTCTGTACACAAATCCACACTACGCCAAAATGCGCACTTTCAGCATCAAAATGCGATTCAAAGCACAAAACAACTCCTACGTGCTTAAAACCACGTTTGTATCAAGCTCTTTGGTATAAGGAAATTGAAGTACTTCAGTAGCGCCAGATAGAATCAGAACAGATGCTGCTTCAAGCTGGAATCTCAGTGTGTAAGTCCTCACTAGAAAGGGGACTTAGTTTATTTATGGGCACAAAAGAGGTAACGCCCAGAAGGAGTTGGCTTTACAGCATTAGCCAATCAGCCTCACAATGATAACAGGAATTGGCGGCCCCAACAATCTTTCATTTCCTCCATGCACAATGACATCACAGGAAGTGACAACAGAAAAGCAGAGCACACCCACATGGATGAGCACAGCATGACTCATCCTTGCCACATGTATGCACAGCCGCCATTTTGGCCAGCATGGACCTAATTCAATACTGCTCAGAGTGACCAGTATCTATTAAGATCATTCTATTTGTTCTTATAGGTTTGAGACTATCTGCGGGAACATTGCTAATGCTATCGTCCATGTACGGTACCAGTACACCAACGAGGCAGATATCAATGTCTTCCCGAAAAGCAGATATCTATACAAAAAGGGGTAGCGCAGCCTTAACAGAAATATAATATGTATCTCGTTATGCGGACTCCGCTTCGCTAATGTGTAGGGATGTCCCGATACCGATGCTAGCATCGGAATCGGGCCCGATACAGGGCATTTTGACAAGTACTTGTACTAGGGATGTCCCAATACCGATGCTAGCATCGGAATCGGGCCCGATACAGGGCATTTTGACAAGTACTTGTACTTGTCAAAATGCACCGATGCCTAGCGCCGAAGCTTGCACTATGTTTTATTTTTTTTCTTCTTACTTACCGAGGGTCGCGTCACTGCTGCTCCGGTGGGCGGCGCTACGAGCGGGGTCATCTGGCAGTCTCCGGGTCCTAATTTAGGTGGCCGGAGACTGCCAGATGACCCTGCTCGGAGCGCCGCCCCCCGGAGCAGCAGTGACGTGACGCTCGGCG